ACACACAGAAAAACTGAAAAGAAAACAAGAATGAGATGTGGGCTAATGTAGCGTTTTCTATTTTGTACCCTTCAATGCCATATTTTGTTTATACTATTTCAATAAAAATAAAAAAATATTTACAATTACAAAATAGCATTTTAACCAGTTAGCTTTTTTTGATATTTATAAAATTGAGCAACTTTGACTACTGGTCTTTAATGAGTGGCTACTCGTTAATTCAAAACCAAACTGGCTCCCATTTCTGATAATGATATAATATTTTGCCTTCATTTAAAGCAAGTTGATGTTTTATATGTTCATGGTCTTTAATGTATGCCTTGAAACCAAAAAATGATAAGATGTTTGTCCCCCCTACATTTGTACATGTACCGGTATTTTTTAAACAATAAAATAAAATAATTCAACATAATATTTTTCACCTCATAAATGCCAAGTATAATATTTTGTACGTTACAAACTGTATTTGGGATTAAATTAAAATTTTTCCCACAACGACTATACACAATGGCATTCCACAAACAAGTGCTCTATGGTTTCAATTTTTGTATGATACTAACTTCTATTTAAAAAGTTTAGAAAACGTTGGAATGTATCTATGGATAATTTGAAACTGAAAGGCTATAAGATCTGTTGAAATTTTAGTAGTGTAAGGTAGACTAAACATTTTCTTGATAATTACTGGAGATACATCATACAGTTCCTCCAGTCTAGATTTATTGTTGGAGATTATATTATATTATTGCACATATACTTATATACTTGTTAATGTATTGATATGTATTGAAATAAATTACATTTCATGTTTCAAACCACTTGTGACTGTTATTATGGATTTGAATTTTCCACTTTTTTTGCATAATCCCTGAATATGTAAATAATCCAAAGTTGATAATCTATTTGATTGCCAGTAATTCCAGTTGTGAAGATTGCCCTTATTATCGAATAAATCAATTCTATTAATATTTTTATTTGTTATTCCAAAGCCATTGATGGTCTATTATATGCAGATATCTAGAAAGAATGGCGAGACAATTTTTTTTCAGTTCCTGTACATCGTAAGTGCAGAGAAAAAGTATGTTCCCAGATTCCTTAACACGATCACCTGCCATCCAGCTTGACCTCCCATTTTTGATCCATTTAAACTTCTTGGCTTTCAGAAACGAATCAATTTCAATCATCTTCAGCCCAGCCCTTTCAATGTCTGCAATTTTTATTATTTGTTTCTATTCCTTAATGACAGTCTTTTATTATTATTTCTTTATTCCGCACTATATGGCCACCGGCCTAAAGTACTGTTACATTTCAAAACTTAAATTACACACGGTCGCTTTAAAATTACAAGATACATATACTTCAAATCATACTTCCATTTCAGTTTCTCTGTAATGAAAACTCTTAAACAAATATTTACCCAAACTTAGTAAAATAAACGTGTTAGTACTCTGTAGCAATGCAATGAATTTTATCTTGGTTGGTGGTGAAAAATAATATTTTGGTAAGAATTTTTGTCTAAGTGCTTCATATTTTGGACAAACCATAGTAAAATGATATTCGTCCTCTGTGACCCTGCAACCAAATGGACATAATCTTTGGTCACGTGGAATACCCAATGTTCTACCATTTTCAATTTCTAGGGGATGACAGGAAA